CGCTACACGATGTACCTGAGAGCTTCCAGAGCGACGCGGGAGCCAAGCGGATTGCCTCCGTACGTCGAGCCGTGCTCACCGGGTCGGATGGTCAGCATGACTTCGTCGTCGGCGAGGACACCCGACACGGGATACATGCCACCGCTCAGCGCCTTGCCCAGGATCAGTATGTCCGGTCTAACTTGCTCTGTGCAAACGTGAAAAAGAAAAAAATGTTATTATTATAAATTATCAACTATTACTATATACTATTAGTTACCATGGTCGACGGCGAGTCTGCGGCCAGTACGACCAAGTCCCGTCTGCACCTCGTCGGCGATCCAGAGGACGCGGTTGCGCGAGCAGATGTCCCGGACCGACCTGAGGTAGCCCTCCTGTGTGTGCACGACAATCGAGCACGTGCAATTGTTTTAATTGTTGGGTGTAACGCGCACGTGTTTATTAAATGAGGGCTCGTGTATACGCACCGAGGGAACGACGACTCCGGCCTCGCCCTGTATGGGCTCGACCATGAACGCGCAGACCTCGGGATCGGACAGCTCGCGCTCTAGCGCCTCAACGTCATTGTACCTGTCGCAATGCGTGCAATGCACATTGAATTTTGTAATCGGCGCATATAGGTATTTATATATATTATGGCAAAGAAAAAAAAGAAAAAAAAGGCACTTACGGTACGGTCTTGAAGCCGGGCATGTACGGGCCGAAGCCGGCGTAGCTCGAGGGGTCTGTGGAGGTGGAGATAGCGGCGAGCGAGCGGCCCCAAAAGTTACCCTCGGCGAAGACGATCTTGGCCTTGTAGCGCGGTATGCCCTTCACGTCGTAGCCCCACCTGCGAGCCAACTTGCACGCCGTGTCCCCGCCCTCCACCCCCGTGTTCATCGGTAACCACTTGTCGTACCTACATAAATATATTATTATAAACACTTTTGTATTTACGTGGATGCCAAAGTGAATCGGTATGATGATAATGGCACGTTAAAATGGACAAAAAGGTATTTGGGGATTTTGGTACGTGTGTCTCTTGGGTGGGTGAGTCTCGTTCTCCCACACACGCGTTGAAGTCTTTATTTTCGTGACTCGCAAAGCGTGTGGCCGAACGAGCAAAAAATATGGAAATTGAAGGAAGAGGGGAAAAAAATCGGCTCAGCGTTTAATCGTAGCTGTTCACAAAATGGTGACTAACTTGAAGAGCCGCGTAATAAACTCCTCGAACTCGCCGAGCACGTCCGAGTAGAAGGCGCGCGAGGTGAGGCCGAGTTTGCCGGCTTGTTCGCGCAGGGCGTTGACGATGCGGGGGTGACAGTGGCCCTGGTTGACGGCCGAGTACGCGCTCAAAAAGTCATAGTAGCGCTTGTTCTCGCAGTCCCACATGAAGACGCCCGAGGCCCGGGTGAGCGCCACATCGAGCGGGTGGTAATTGTGGGCCCCGTACTTGCTCTCGCGCTCGAACACCTCCCGCGAGCTCACGCTACGGTGCTGCCCCAAACGTACCATTAGGCTCTCCTGGTGCAGACGGGCCATCCTCGCCGTTCGCGTCATCCATGAAACCATGTCTATCGAGTTCCTGTACATATAGGTGTCCAATTTTTTGATCAACCCTACGACGCCACAGAGCATTTCAAGGGAGTTAAAAAAAAAAAAAAAAAAAACAATACTTGAATTTCAAATTTTGTGGGGTCAGTCCATCACAGTACAAATGGACACGGCAATAAATTGCCGATTGTTCTAGTACCTACTACTTTTACAAGTGATAAAGAGCTGATGATATTTATCCCCGTTGGCGGGCGAAGGAACAACAAACGCGTTACACGTACTGGCCCTGTACCCGACTTCACCGTTGCCGTATCGCTGTTGTTGTTATTAACGGTAATCAACCGAATACATAATATACAAGTGTATCGTTAACTATTATTTTCGCCTACCGGTATGTATTTATATGTATGTATGTATGAAATTAATGGTTTAAAATTAATTATTGACACAAGTGTCAGGCGCGCTGCGATCCAAATTTAATCACGCCTTCCTCGTACGAGTGTGTGTACATTATATATACACGGCTGACAAATCTTACTCGAAGGTGCAACAGCGATTGTATATGATGTGCGGTGGATACGGTGCATGGCGCGCGATAAGAGTACGCGCGCTCGTTGTACAGATCAAAAATAAAGCACTACTTATGTATACACGTTACATTTTATACTCTTCTTATCTCCGTACTTGAGACGAAAAAAAAAAAAAAAAAATCCAAGATATCGGTTTGACGATTCGTCTTGTCGCGGTAATTAAAGCACAATTTTCAGTGTAAAAAATCAAATTTACCGATTTTTCGTATGATTTTTCACAAATAATTATTCGAGTACGTGCGTATATTTGTGCTTACGCGCAAAGATGCTTATATTAGTTACTTATAGTTATTATTATTTTACTTTAGTTATTACTTATATTACTTATAGTATATTAGTTGCTTATACGTGTTGGTTTAGATTTTCATTGTAACAATAAATATATATAGCGTGTTGGTTCGATCATAATATTTTGGGAAAATATTTCAAGGCCAAAACAATAAGTGGTAGAAAAATACGAAACAATGGGGATACGTACAATATATAATGTAACTTACAAGAACAGAGAATTGAGAAAAGGGAGCAGACGAGGCGATGCAGGCTGGAACGATACCGATACACCGTTGAGCACCAACAAAGTAAGTGTTTGATTTATCCTCTCTCGTTTTTCTTTATTCCACATCCACCAACGCACGCATCAGTTTGTTTTCAGCGATATGTAGAAAAAGCGAGGGAGAGCCGGAGAAGAGAGAGAGATGTACGCATCGAAGAGCTCCGCAGCTGCTCTATACGGGTCTTTCCGCTTTGACAAGCGATAAGGTATATAAACCTTGGCTCGTTGCTTTACTCATAACTTACGAGAAAGTAAATTGGTACGTCAATGTGGGAGCATTTTTTGATTCAAGTTCACCATCGATGTAATATACGTACAAATCTCGAACTGATGAAAATTAATAACCGATTTTACACGCGTAGACGCGTTAGGAGCCTTTTTTTGTACTGCCTAAAGCCTCAAGCGTATATTATACTCTGTACAAGTATAGGTGACACAACGACAGGTGAGGAGAAAATTTTCTGATTATTTTGAAACCACTAGAGATTCCCATCATCCCCAACATTCCGATACGCGCAATGGACCTCGAGGGCCCTGTTTAAAAAGCATTTGCAGCTTTCTGATTGGCCGAACTATTTGAAACGAGCACGCGTTTCCTCTTGAATAGAATCAGGCCCATATTTTTCATAAGCAACATCAGATACGTCGGTTCGATTTTTATATTATTTTTCATGTATAATTAAAAGTGGAATAAAAAATAAATTTTTCCTGTTACTTGGATTCTTTTTTTTTTTTTTTTTTTTGCAAATTTTATTATCGCCATCGTGCAGATAATGATGATATAAAAATTTTTGCAGCTCAATTTAAAAGCGATTCAATTACCTGCATTTTTACGATTCGTTTGATTTGCTGACAATACTAGTATTCTAAGAAAAAAAAAAAAATTATTTTGTCGCGATGATTGCCCAACTTCTGGGCGATACGAGTGGATCGAATAGTTGCACGATTTGAAGATCCGCGCAGATTTTTGATTGTCGCAAAAATAAATATTTATCCAATAAAATGGCAGCTTCGACAATCGGTGCGAGCTGAATCCGTAGCAATTGGAAAAAATTAAATTTCCATTGGTAAATTTCGTATTTTTTGTACATCGCTACGATTGTTTCGTCCGAGAGATCCTGAAACAAAAATATTGATGCCTTTGTTTCATTACATTTGTAAAAATATACTTTCGAAACTTGTTTTATTGGCGTGTGATATTTAAACAATACCTTTGATTTGTCAATTTTATTTAAAACCCATTTTGCATAAGTTAGAAAGCTATCAGATGGTGCTCCACGTCCGACTCTATAATCAACAACGCCTTTAGTTGATGGACATGTAATTGAGAATAAATAAGTTAATAATCAACAAATGAAGATGATAATGTAATATTTTATTTTTTACCTATAAATCGAAGTAGAACCTGAAGAACAGCCCTATAAAACAGCGATGGAGAGAGTACATATGATTTTTCTCTCATTCTTTCTTTGGACTGTTGGGCTAACATTCTCGAGTTTTTGCATAATTCGTACTCACTGGTGAGTAATTTTGAAGATAAATGATAACAGCAAGGAACAACACATAGGTGTATTATCTCATTGGTTTTTAAAAATGCTTTGACAACACAATCAGATAATAAGCCACAGCCGTGCAAGGCAACCATTGTAAGATTTTTCTTTTTGTACAAATCTGGAAAACGTTTTTCTACCATTCTTAAAAAATCTGTGTTTTCACTTATTTCTTCTATCTCATAACAAATCTGAAAGGTAATCAGAGAATCACCAAAATAAATATGTTTGTAGCTTGAAATGCAAGTTTTAAAGGAATAAGAAGTAAATTCAGTGAGTCTCTTACCGGTATTTCGGTGCTTTTATTTTTCTTATTTACAAGATCACAGCGATTCAAAGCACCTATATGATTGGCTTGAGAACATTCAACCGCTAATACAGGCAATCCATAATGGTTTGCTAAATGTGCAGATGAGTATCCTTTTCCCGCTCCAGCATCAATAACAATACACGATTCGTCCTTGACAAGCCAAGCAACTGTTTTTGTAAATATTTCAACTTCATGCCACTTTTTGGCTTTCATGTGTTCCATTCGCAAAGGTTGAGCAACACTCTTCTGTGGTTTGCTGTTTAGAATTTTCATGAATTCAGATCGACTGATAGCACTGCTGCAGTTCTCCAATCTCAGTGATGCAGAGTCCTTCAAATAGGAATGGAGTATTGTTTCTTCATCCAAGGTGTTTGAAACATTAAACTGTTGAATCTCACCCAAACTATTACAACCTGTTTTTTCCACATAGGATATTAAATTGTTCGGCATACATTTTTCCCACAAATCATTGGTAAAAAAATCAACCAAATGACAACTTATTAATTTTTCATTGTTCTCAATGAAATCAATTGTTTTGGAAAAATGCCTTTCCAAAGTCATGATTGCGCAGTATGGTATTCTCTAATATACAATGAGCTGGAGAGACAAAATTCAAAAGTCCGTTTGATCGCATTCAGGGTACTTTGGATCAATTTTAGCTAACGAACATATTTTCTTCACATGAAGTTTTATACTTTCAAACTCAGCAGCTATATCAAGCTTGTCGTCATTATGACTAGGAAACGTCTGTATCTGACGTATCAAGTTGCTCGTCTGTTGAGAGATTTTTGGAATATTAGTAACAAATTGTTTAATGTACAGTAAAATTCCCAGGTAGTATCCCAACTGAGCTGCAATCGAGCTGGCCCTGTGGTACCCAAGATGATAACCTTGAAGCATCTGCCTTTTCCCGGAATCAAATCCTTCTTTGTACGCTGTCTGCTCAGCCAAATCCTCGGCAAGTAAAATTTTTTCAAAGGCCTCGTTGATGTCGACGTTCACGGACTCATCCTCCAACATCATTGACCACAAGTTTTAAGGCGCAATGAAGCGCTAGTGCTAAATGTGAAGGATATAATTAGATAGAAAAATCCACAGGATTTTATGCTACTTTTAATTATACCATACAATACTTGTTTAATTAATTATTTCTCAGCTAATTGTCGATTTTTTATTATGTTTTTGTCCATGGGACTCCGAGTAAGAATATATACTTATTCTTGACAAATGAGCACGTGTGCAAGTGTGCAGTCGTACAGGGTAGGTAATGTAGGTATACTGTAAAAAATTATTCTTTTTTCCTTTTTCGAAAATTTTCGCCCCGATAGCATTGTGACGGCACTGTGACCGTGTGACCGCAGCGTGTAGCACCGTGACGTCCAGCTGTCGTAATTTCTGAGCGCGCAATGCGCATGCTAAAACATACTGTGACGGGTGTGACGGCATCATGACTTCAGACTGACAGCAACGTGTGCGGTCACAGCTGCTGCACAACCTGCTCTCCACGTGATCGGGGCGTCAAGTAAAAGCATCAACAGTCGGTAATGTGGAAAAGTACAAATAAATATATACAGGTATACAAGAGTACACGTGTACACGCAGTGACGTATCTCATCCATACTGTTCGTGTTCGTGCGTAATGTACTTAATGCACGTTTAACAGTCAATTTGTGTGTATACACATTTTAAGGTTAACTTTTGCTTAGTTCAAGTCACAAGTTATAATCACCAAGAAGAATGTGTGGTCTTGTAGACATATTTTATCAATTAGATAACAAATAAATACAGGTGCGTAGACAAAAAGTAACGCCGTATATCTTTGCTATTATATGGTTCAAAACACCAACTTGTGACTAACCCAAAAACCAGCAAGTTGCTCTCTGGATCCGCTGATCGTCAGTCCTACGTTTATATATTATACCTACGTAAATAGGTATTACATATATAGAATCGATGGTCCTGATTGATTACGAGATTTTCCTCATACGTGCATTATAGTGTATGTAAATGCATTAAAGAAAAAAAAAAATGGATACCGCTCCCAATACAGAGCCCATAGATCATCAGTTGCTGCAGGTATTTATCTTTACCATTAATCATTAACCTATTGCAATCCGTACTTGAAAAACTTGGCATTTTGTTGCTCATTTTTTTTAGTACAAATAACTCAATAGAAGGTCATTCTTCTGATCATTTATTGTTCAACTTTATAGGGCCAAATGTACAATAATTATTGCGACGAAATCCAAAACAGTGCTCTCGACTCAAGACTGTATGCTGAACTTTATTTTTTCAGTGGCAGTAATAGCGATTATGATGATTTCATTAAAGAAGCAAGAGAAAAACATGTGACAACAGATAATAGTAGCTCTGCTGGCCAGACAAGCAATAAAAGTGTGTGTAATACATCCGATATCAGGACGTCCAATCTTGAAAACTTGTCCGATGCAACAGCTATGTCTAATAAAAATGACTCCTTTGACATTGCACACAATGTATCCAATGCTCAATTTAGAGAAATTTCGAATGAAGAAAGTGCTTCAACGAATAAAACCCCAAATACAAGTTTTATTGGTAATTTGAGTAATGATTCAACGCCAAATGACCGATTTCAACAACTTGATCAGAATCATCATGATGAAAGGAGATATAGTGCAAAGCGTAAAAAGTACGAAAATAACAATCACTTTAACAATACTTGGAATCAACAAAAAAGTACCCAAAATTCTTTTACTAGTCCTAATACTAGAAGTGTAGTGAATCCTGGGAACTCTCCAAACAATTTGAATATCAATCCATATAACAAAGAAGTAGCAAACAGTATGCCAAATCAGGTACAACTTTTCAGCCCAGCTTTTTATAACTTACTCTTTGTAAAAAAACCAACAAATCAGAGTGCACCCAATCCGACACGTAAATTAAAACATAAAAACCTGAGAAAACGAAAAAACAAATATGAATCTCGCTATTCTTTCCCATGTCAAACAAATGGTATACCTGCAAAGGTAATTAACAATGGCACTTTATCTAAAAATGTTTCCAATGAAGCTAACACAAACTCTGTGGCATTAAATGAACAAGATGGAAATGAAAAAAGTAATATTAGTGCTCAAAATCTTCCCAATGAAGCAAACACAAACTCTGAGGTATCAAATGAACAAGATAGAAATGAAATAAGTAGTACTAGTGCTCAAAACGTTTACAATGATACCTCTGAAGTCATTGACATCAGTTCAGATTCTGAAGAAGAGTCAACATCTAAGTATAATGCAATCGAAACAACTGAAAAAAAATTTGAAAAAATATTGACTCGTAATGATGACAAGTCAAACAATAGCGAATCTGAAAGTGAAGAATCGATTTTCGAAGTTCCTATACCACCAAAGCCAGCACCACTGTTAATTGATTTGAAGGATTCCGACAATGAAAGCAATAATAAGAGCGAAAACCAAAATGTTGATAGTTCAAATGCATCTATAATTTCTGTACCAAGTGCTGGACCCAATTCTTCAAATGAATCGCCTACCATCGATGTCTCAGACAGTGATGAACAAGATAGTTTTGTTTTAAACTGTACCGTGGTTCAAAAAGACACAAGCAGTTTACAAGACATTAGAACAACGAACATTGGTCCAGAGTTAAGCACGTCAAAGTCTCCCAGCAATGAAAATAGTGAAATTACTGAAGAAAGTCATGAAATATCTAATAAAATTCTACAAAACATCGATACGCGTCAAGAATGCAGTAAAAGTAAAAAAAATAAACGCAGCACGTCTACAGCGAGTACAACGGCCAGTTCCAGTAATGCTCCTCCAAACAAACGAATTAATTCGCCAGAAAATTATTTCTTTCAACCAATGAGTGCAAAAATGAAGGCATTTTATGATGAATCCTGGGGGGGAGAAAACTTTGACATGGAAAAGTTACGAAGCAAAATGCCTTGTGAGTAAAAAAAAACATGTAATAATATTTTTTTTTTAATCACAATCTTTTTTAAAAAAGTATTTATTATTAAGTACAATTTTATTATTTATTAGCTGATTCACAAAAATGGGCCATAATCAATGAAGACAAATTTGGTTTGTTTAATCGCAATAAGCGTTATTTTGGTATTGTTTGTAATCGTTGTAACAAAAAGGGGCACAAGTCACCTCAGTGCCCTGAGCCATTCAAGAATCCCATTTGTCACATGTGTGGAGTAAAAGGACACTTTGAGTCTTCTTGTCCTCATAAAAAGTGTTTGACGGTAATAATAATGCAGTAGAACTTACCTTTGGGTACACCTAATTATTTTGTAATCTGTACAACGAAATTATTTTAAATATTTTTGTTTTATTGACAGTGTGGAACACAGCAGCGCATGTATACCAAGATTTGCGAAAATTGCATTAGAATGCGTTGTTCACGGTGTAATTCGCGCGGTCATTCGGATATTTCATGCCCAGATCTCTGGCGTCGCTATCATGACACTGTAAGTAGTACAATAATTTTGTTTGATTACTTTATACTTTTTGCTCGCAAATACCTTGTTTGTTTATTTTAATTTTCATCAAAAGCCATAATAACAATTGAAGTTAAAAAAATATGTGTTGTCATTTGATTCAGGTCAATAGAAATAATGTGGAATCTTTGCAATATTCAAGACGAGTGATGAAACCACAACACGAATTATTTTGTTGTAATTGTGCAAAAAAAGGTCATAATTTCGATACATGTAAAAAATTGCAATGGTCCCAACACTTTTCCACACCGTCTCACGTTGTTAATTACAACGGGCCAGCTTACATTTCGGAAAACTTGCATGATTCGCCAATCGCCAATAATCGAAATGACCAGGTAATACATGGAAGTTCTAATAGCTCAAATTCCACTAGCAATAATTCGATCAATTTATTAATTAGTAGAAATAAAATATTAACTGATTCAAATAGAAAGCCAAATATTAACAACATCGATGTTCACCAAAGTACCGTCACTGGAGCAAAGAAAAAAGTCATTTGTGATGTAATAACTAAATCTTTTAAACATTCAAAGTTAATGTGCACTTCTTACTTAGATTTGGACTGTTCAAGCAACATTCCTGCAGATACATTGAAAGATTGGAAACATCTGACTACATTCTTTGGTAAACTTGCAACAACTATTAAAGTCCATTTTTGGCTAAAGCAAAGTGATACACGGTTGCGAGTCTCTTTAACCTGTAATCGTAGTCACATGAAATGTATCACTGACATAATACTACAGTATATAAATCGTAATAATGTAGAAAGGTCACGAATGTTTTTTGAATGGCATAGAGACCCTGAAAAAATACTAGATCATCATTCAAAAAAAATCTCGGAAATGAATTTATTAAACGAAGATTTGCTGGAACTTTACAATGCCTATACAAATTTACTCTCTCAAACAACTGCAAATGATAATAAAGATAGAGCTTATGAATTGAATAAATTAGCAGATTTACAAGAGAAATTGTTGTTAATTTTGTACAAGGAAGGCTTTGCTGATAACTCGCTTCAAAAATTAAATACTTTGAATGCTAAGATAAAAAAACGATACAAGAATCAGAAATCAGAAAAGACGAAAAAGAAAAAATCTTCTAAATCTAATCTAGTAAGATTTAATATTTTAATTAAATACATATATTTTTATAATAACGTTTTTACACCATATCGGCTAAAAAATTTAAGTGAGTCCATTGAAAAGTTCAAAACACGTGCAAGACTATGTGATAAAATTATGGCAAACAATAGCACATCTTCATGTATGCAAAAACAAAATGAAGAATCTATGCCAGATAAGGTTTATGATTTAAAAACGTCTAAAGCTACTTTATCGCAATGTAAAGATTCGCCAAAAAAACTTGACGAAAATAGTTTATTAGTGCCTTCTCAATCAAATGATGCTCTTCTTAATTTTACGAATGCACAAATGTATGGTACATCGGAACAGTTTACAAGTATAGCAAAATCAAAATCGGGGGAAAAAAAGCATAAAAATTTTTGGGTAAAGCTAACTAGAAATTTACTACCAACAGCTAAAAAACTATCTGCGAGTACATTCTTGCAAGCACATGTTAATACATTGGAAAATAAGTTAAAGAATGAAATGGATGTTAGTCAAAGGGATTATAAAATGTTACGAAAGTTAGTTAATAAGGCAATGAAAAAAAGTAATGTAGAAAAATAGTGATAGTGAAAAGAACTTACCTTTGTAAAAAGTTATGTACAAAGTTTCTAATACCTAATAAATTTGCTTTGAGATGTTATAAATTAGTGGAATATATCGTTTTTATTTTTATTAGATTTTCCAAAATTAATTTAACTTATAGCTGTACATTATAAAATTTATTTACACGTTTGCACAAATACAATAATAATATATATGTATACCAAGTCTCAAATTGAAAGTTTAAAATTTTTTTGCGGACAATTATTTTTTCATTTGTTGAGGGGCCATACCTGGAGGTGGAGGCCCTGGTGGTCTCATAGAACCTAAAGGTCCCATTGGTCCCATCATATGACCCATTGGATTCATTGGGCCCATCATGGGTGGCCGCATACCCATCATTGGAGGAGGAGGCATTGGTCCGTGTGGTCCCATCATCATTGACCCAGGATGCATTCCTGGAGGAGGCATCATTCCTGGCATTCCTGAAAACAATTTCAAAGAAATAAGTCAGGGAACAACATTAATTCTTGATAAAAATAATTGAGTTTGTCAAGTACTTGAAAAGTAACAAAAAAAATTATCACCCTCATGTGCAGGAGGTAAGCATGAAATGAAGATAGGCTCAGGGACTTACCAGGTGGCCTTTGGTTGGGAGGTGGTACACCAGTTTGGCCAGCTAGACTTGGTGGCGGTGGTATGGCAGCACCTTTATTTGGAGCAAATGGATTAGATGAAATTTTTCCAGCTTTGAAGGCTGCTGTTGTAGCATCGATAAGATGTTGTGCCTGCTCCTCCATCCATTTTTGATAAAAATATTTGACATTATCCTTGTGTTTACGCCCTTGACAGTGAGTTTTTCTCACACTGGGCGAATCGTGTGTCAAGTATGTGTCGCAGTAATCACAGTAATATTTCGGCATGATCAACTACTAAACTGAAAATTTGTGAGAATGATACAATGAAACAATTGATAATTGCTGTCTAGTTTAGTCAACAATAAATGAATACTTATATTTACTTACGATCGAACTGATTCACTACTAAGATAAAAGTACCAGTACCTGAACACTTTTTTCACTGGTAAATTTATATTTTTCCCTGTCAATAAGAAACATAAAAACTTTTCTAGGTTATCTGTACCCTACAAATATGATAAATTATTTTTTAATTCTTTCTATCAATGACCCAGTAGATGAAAAGCGTGTTAAGGTATTGGTATCGATACGCATTTTTGACCAAGCACTCAAAGATGCCATGTTAATTAAACGGGAGAGAGGTTATGCTAGCTTATATTTACTAATTTCTATTTTTATCATATACTACAAACAATGAAATGGAAAAATTTGTTTCTTATTTAATTTGTCACGTCTTTAGCGACTAGCTTGACACGTTATTATTACTATTGATTGACAGTGATTCTAATCGTTTTTGTGTAGAGTACGAAGCATAGACAAAACCTAATACCTAGTACCAGTATACCAGTACCTGAATAGTCTTAACCATTATGTACAAGTCGCTCGAATAAATAATTTTTTTTGTTTCATTGACTATAAAAACTCAAAATATACAATTTGTTTTATCTAAAGGTCTAAGAAAACATTTTTTTTTAAATTCAATTTACATTGAAAGTAGTTTTTTCAAGTTGTTCAAGCTAATGGCACAATTTTATGAAGTGTTTACCACGTAAGTACTAATTCTTTTACCTTACTTGTGTAAAGTATAATTATGTTTTTCAACACACATTGAGGTTAATTCGTAGTTGTGATTGACTTTTTTTTACAAGAACTCAGTTTGAAATAGGAAACATTCAATTTTTATAAGTTAGATGGGGTGAAAATTTGTTTGTAAAACTTAATTTGTCAGAAAGTAAACAACTGAACTACAACTAACCGGTACACTCGGAAACACAATGTTGTTGGCTTTATCATCAACGTCAGTATAATATAGCGTCGTCAATGGACAGTGTGCGACACACAGCGACTGTTTTAGTGCATAGGTGAGAGAGGGGGAGGGAGTGCGTTATCGACATATCGACCAACTCGCAGCGATTTAACGAGATATCGAGAGAAAAAGAGCTTCGAGTGCTTCGACTGGGGTCCGACCGGGGCATTCGATATCTCGCTCAAGTAAGCAGTTTTTTCAATAATCCCTAAACTACGCATGCGCATTATCGTTATTTTTGGTTATTTTATAGGGATTATCGAAAAAACTGCTTATTTAAGCGAGATATCGAATGCGGGAAAGCGGGAATGCCCCGATCAGACCCCAGGCTCTGAGAGTCCGAGACTCGTTTGAAAAAATTTACCTTTACTATGTATATTTACAAATTTATTTATTCAATAGTTATTTACACGGATTCTTTTACTATTCAATTAGTTTTGACACGCTTATCTTACTTCAAAACAATCATTGAAATTTAGAGTCCAGCCTGTACTATTCCCTGTCTCTTATTGTCACACCATCTTATCAATGTGTAAGTGTGGTTTTTGAAAATAAATTATCATACGTAACGATTCTTTTTTTTGTAAGAACACAGTTAAGTTGGTCTTTTGGTAATTTAAAAACTTCGATAGTCGAGATCACAATCTTTGACCGAAGAATTCGATTAATATAAAAAGAGGAGTGTATGATATGCACTGTGCAGTGAGTAGAGACTCTCTACACTCTCTAGAGAGTTGAGAGAGATCTGCAGAGTGCTAGAGGTGAGAGGAAAAGATCAGAGATTTGATTCTTATTATGATCTGAAGATTATGAATCATTAACGAATATTTAAGTGACGTCGTACCTATGTGTACTTAGTATATCTTTATATTTTACACGGAGATCCTCAATACAAGGACTACAACTCACTGAGGATGTAAGGATACATAAGGACTAAGGAAAAATATATATGTTTAAAAGTGTATCTATAACCCGACGTTCGTGTGTTGCAGGTTCCGTGGCTTGATACATATAATATAGGTATACATTCTACGCTACGCTACTGTCGCTGCTGCTGTGTTAAGTGTGTGTGTGGTCGAGTTATTCATACTTTCATACAGCCATACACTTACACAGGTATTGTATTATTTGTATTACACATTATGTATTTGTACACATTAGCTCACATATATACCTATACCTGTAAATCTGTAATTGTGTCGTGTTAAGAACTAAACATTTTTTAGTATCCATTTAGTAAGTAGCGAAGCTCAAGACAGAAAGAAAATTAAGTAGAGGGGACGAGGGATAAAAGACTCTGCAGAGAACCCTGGCAACATCAGGAGTGAGAGCATCAGTGCGTCCAAGTAGTCGCCTTACTGATGCTGCGGTGATGGTGTGGTGCGTATGCACTCGAGGCGGAGATTATAATAATTAAGCTACTTAGCAACAGGAAAAATAAAAAAAAAAGTGGAGAGTGATCGAGAGTGAGTAAAAAGCAGAGAGCGAGGTGTAGGTTGTGTTGTTGTTGCTGCTGCTGCAGCTGCTCACCACACAATGAACGGGTTGAGCTTGAGCGAACTATGTTGCCTGTTCTGCTGTCCGCCCTGTCCGTCGCGGATAGCCGCGAAGCTGGCCTTCCTACCGCCCGAGCCAACCTACAGCTTCATCGAGGACGAGGGCTCCAAATACTCGATCTCGCTGAGCGAGCGCGCCGAGTGGCAGTACACGGAACGCGAAAAAGAGTCCGTCGAGGGCTTTTACACGCGGACGGCGCGCGGTAACCGAATTGCCTGTCTTTTTGTGCGGTGCTCGGCCACCGCCCGGTTCACGATACTGTTCAGCCACGGCAACGCCGTCGACCTCGGCCAGATGTCGAGCTTCTACCTGGGCCTCGGCTCCCGCATCAACTGCAACATCTTCAGCTACGACTACTCCGGCTACGGTGTCTCTGGTGGCAAACCCTCCGAAAAGAATCTCTATGCGGACATTGACGCCGCCTGGCACGCGCTTCGCACCCGATACGGTGTCAGCCCCGAGAACATCATACTCTACGGTCAGAGCATTGGAACCGTACCGACCGTTGACCTTGCCTCCCGCTACGAGGTTGGCGCCGTCGTCCTCCATTCTCCTCTCATGTCCGGTATGCGTGTCGCTTTCCCCAACACCAAGCGCACCTGGTTCTTTGACGCCTTCCCCAGGTCAGTCAGATAAATTACATTTGATTGATATGTACATTATTTTTGCTGGTGATAAGAGTAATAATGTCTTATTCTCGCACGCTTTTGATAATTAAGTATTATCGTATGGTCTCTCTTGCACAACGTCGATTGGTTGTGTACTACTGTATGTATTGATTACGTACCGATATTGTTAAACACCAGTCATTTCGTTTGCAGCATTGACAAGGTGCCTAAAGTGACGTCGCCTGTATTAGTCATTCATGGAACCGAAGACGAAGTTATCAATTTTAGTCATGGTATGGCCATTTATGAGAGGTGCCCCCGGGCCGTTGAACCTCTGTGGGTCGAGGTAATTATCGAAATATAAATCATTACTATACTAGTTATGTTTAAGTGTTTATGTACTCCTATTCGTGACCCTGTTTGTCGCTTAGCTCTTCTGTATCTCAGCTGTTTGTACAACACTGTTGCCTACAATATAAGTACATCAGGTACTTACATGCCAGCTCATGAGAAATATTAGCAATTTATTGCCGTGAGCGCAGCAACTTACCCTTTGATGATTAATTGGAATAGTTTATCTAACATTCAGCGTGTTGTTATGACCAATGAGTAAATTTCTAAATGCATTGTTTGATTTACAGGGTGCTGGTCACAATGATGTGGAGCTTTATAATCAGTACCTCGATAGACTTAAGCAATTCGTGAGCGTGGAGCTGATAAACTGACGTCGACTCAGCCTCTCCCAGGCGCAGGGAGCCGGAGGTGGAGGTGGCGGCGGCGGCGGTAGTAACGCTGGTGGCGGAGTCACCACTCAGATACAGCAGTCGAACACTCCTCAGCAGGAGCAGCCCCAGCTGGCGGTGGTGGACTCTAGCTCGAGTGAATCGAGCGTCGTTAGTTCCACGACCTCGAGCCCAAGCGTGGAGGAGTCGGAGCCACGTCGCTCACCCACATCGAAAAAAATTAGTCCAGTACCGCCACCGCCTCCTCAGTTGAACTTGCGCTACACATACACGAGCGCACTTTCATCAGCTAAGCGTGAACTGCTTTCCCTCGACGAGGAACACCTCAAGTCCAAGCGACCAGACAAGGCTCAAGTTGACGACGGCCAGATACGTGAACCCTCGCCCGCCAGATCCATGCCTGCACAACCAAGTTGCAAGGAACTGCCCGCCTACGAAGCCAAGGAGCGTAGTCTGGACTTCCCGAGCAATAGACGCAGGCAACGCTCGCCTGCCGGCGACGTGGAGACCCGAGAGCCCTCGTCCGAGCAGTCTGAGCTTTCAAATATGAAGGCCAACAAATTCACTTGGTGTGGTAGCTGCAAAGCTAGCTCGAAATCTAGGCCGGCGGGCAAACCACGGCAGCGTACTTCCTCGACGAGTCCACTCCGCCGGCTGAGTCGTTCCTCGCTCCAGGTGCCAGATGCCGTGGAGCTAACTGCCAAGTACTCACCGTGTACCGGGACTCGCCTCGCTGCCAGTTCCAAAATTTTATCAAGTAGTGGTGGTGGTGTTTGTATGGCGCGTCACCCAGAGGAGGAACAACCTCGGCGACCGGCCCGACGTGCCCGGAGTGCGGCCGCCTCGCCGGCGAGCGAGGCTAGTCCTGGTAGCGGGCCACCTTCGCCGCTGTTACCGCACGACGGGGATGAGCAGCAGTCAAGAGCCATTGCACCGGCCTCGGCCATAGAGCTCAGCTTGGAGCGGAGCAGACGTGGCTTGAGCTATCGCTGTCCACGCTAAAGCTCTTCTTCCCCGTGTGTTTGTTTGTGTGTGTGTGTGTGTGTGTGTGTGTGTGTGTGTGTGTGTATGCGCTCGTGTGCCAGTTTAAGAGTGAAAATTATCGTCCGACTGAAATTTCGTGTGCGCCCTCCGCTGTCACGCTCTTTTCTGCACTGACTGTCGCGCGTCCCGCTCTTTTAATGCGTTTTTCACATTCTTACTCAAAATGCAAACATGTAGACTAGGTAAAAATAAAAGTTGAATCAAGATGAATAGTGACATTAAAAACAAAATACCCTGAAAAGCTACTAACTTAAGTAGTTCTCCTTGCATAAACTTATGAGTTTAATTGAAAATAGCAATATATCGAAGAAACCTACTTTTGTTGTTAGTAATTGTAAAACATACTTTTACAGTTGCGAAGCGTTTTTTAAGTGAAGGGTTTTTTCTAGTGGTGATACACACCACTGTATGCGCATTTAAGTTAAAAAAAAAAAATTTAAATTTACTTTTTGTTATTTACTTTCTTTAAAGTTTAGATTTATATTAATTATTAGTCTATTATACTTATAACGATTTGTAAAATTAAAAACACCTTGTTGCATTGTTTAGAAGTGTTTAAAGACACGTTGAATGATTTTAGACATACAAAATGTATTTTTATGAAAAATATTTGATAACCAAGACATGGGATGACATTTTTTTGCTAAATATCGCATTTTCATACAATTGAAGTTTCTAAGGACTAAAAGTACAAAAATACGAATTACGTTGTATCGTTTTTTCACTTTTTTACAAACATGCAAATTCTTATAGTTATTAACAGTGTAAAAAAAAAAAGTACCGAATGAAAAAAAAATCTCTTAACGACGCAACGTAATGCTCTCGAATATTGAACATTGTTGGAATATTGAACACAAATGAAAATTGTTAAATACTATTACTAAATTAGACAATCGGTTGAATTATTTGTAATCATAACTTTATCAGTCAGTACACTGTTGCTACACTGTGATGTTATTACTTTTGGTACTCAACGAATTTTTTGTTTCATTGACAAAAATGCTCGTAACGATTTTGCAATTATTTTTCCTCTGAACTTTGTATATAAACATTATCTTTATTATGGTAATAATAATAACAATAATAATAATACATCTCCAGATCAGAAATAAACGATTATTATTTGTAACAAAAGTGCCAAAGAATATGTACACCAGCTCTAAATATTGCTGTCTTACTAAGTATGAAAGATTTACATATTCGAATTTGAAGTTCAACAGAGCTTCTGAAAAAATTTATATTTAAAAAAATTATTCTTACACTTTATATTATAATAAAAAATATTTAACTTACCTTTCCATTATATTTATCTAATCGATTTTTTGTGCATTGTGTTTTATTTCTACATAATTTTCTACCTTTTGTGACCATTTAATTTCGAATAAAAATTTACGTGATTGACAGTTTCCTAGATTCGGGAGTGATGTAATAAAGATAAGCAATATATTTCCATGCCAAACCGTAAACAAAGATGATAAAAAGCTCAAGACATACGTCAAGATAAAATAATTCTGCTCTGTGCAATACAACTTAGTTATAAATAAATCGAGTATTTTGGTGAACTACAAAAATTATGAATATACAAATTAACGATTACTTTACCTAATATCGAAAAAAAATTTACACGAACCATAAGTAAAAAACAATAAGAACAAACGACCAACTTTATGTGAAAAATTACGTTTTTAAATACAAGGTACGATTGCCATTTTCATCACTTGAGTAAAAAGTATAAATATAAGGCAAACAATGTTAAAGTAAAAAATAAGATGCCATAATAAGATTTCGTTTCTTTAAAACGTTTTTCGACATTTTACATTTATTTGTTTTCTTTAGATATACACAATTTAAAAACAAATTTTTGCTAAAACAAAACAGAATACGGTAAAAATAAGTTTTTGAATATTTTACAACGGTTTTGGTTACTTGCACTGTATATTTGCTTCTTATACGGAAGGAAATTGAAATAAAATTTATTTTTTTGAAACACCCAACTTTTGTGTACGAGCGCGTTTTGCAACTAAGTTTACTTTAGAAATCAATCCATACTTGCGTAAATAGGATAAGAATTTTCGACTTTGATGGATCCTTTCTGAATCCAAACTATTAGATTTTATCGCAAAAATAATTGTAATCAATATATATAAATCTTCTTCGAATTTTTATGTGTTAAAACATTTATTTATCTAAATTTATGTACTTTTGTATCTCTATATACGTGACTCTTTAACATCTACAGTCTCAAACAAAACTACATTTTTCCAACACGAGTAATTTTTAAAGTATTTGCAATTTTGGCTCTGGTGATGAAGCAGTCGTGCCTGCAAAGGGGAAATAGATAGCCTAATTTTTCATCAAGTTAGATGTGATTTTTAGTTTTTTTTTTTTTTTTTTTTTCTTAGATCGAAATTAATTGGTAAATATGTTATAAAATAGTTTTTAAAAAAAGTGAAAAAATTACATATAACTGAAATAAGACACATGTTGAATTTCATTAAGATTTAATTCCAAATTTTGCAAGATGAATTCACGTGAGTAAAAACAATTTATAACGAAACGTTCAAATTAAAAATAAAAAAAAGACATGTGTATTAATTATGTAACCACCTGAATCTTGTATAAGAACTATAATTTATTTAATAATGTAAATCTTCCAAGACTAACTAATTAAGACGTCTGTATCATGTTAATTAACTAAGTCCTGGTATTGATCTGCAAAACGATGATAAAGTGAGGAAATATTCAAGCAATGTGATTGTTATCGAGCATAAAATGCTGACAGCTTGGGACAATATACTGCCAAATTTAAACTATATCCATTAGTTAACTCGTTAAATAGTAAGAAAAATTAAGTTAGATAAGGAAATACATAATGATGACTTTGTTCGTTTCTTGTTAGTATTTTTATATCACAGTAATGTAAATACCTGAATTGTACTTGAACACTGACTTTACAAGTAAGCGATTTAAAATGAAATTGCAATAGAAAGCGTGATACATTATACATGAGAAAATACGACGTAGTTGAACCATTGAAATCTCATTTTTTTAATTCAAACATCAAAAAAGCACCTGAAAATTGTAGAAAAAACATTAAACTAAAATAAAAAAGTTTACCAGATTCATTTCGTATGAGAGAGAAAATTGTTTCATTCGGAAGGAAAAAAAAAGCCAAGACCAAAACAATAATAATTTGTGGCATGAGTTTTTTCAGATTCACTTGGTTTTATTAACGTAGGTATGTACCTATATCACAAGAATTGTAATTAAAATACGGAATTTCGGTAAAGTATAAGTGAGAACAAAAAAAAACAAAATACCCTGTTTCCAATTTCTAGTTTTCACATGTTTGATGCGAAATGGCTTGTTGGAAAAAAAAAAAAAAAAACTTTTAAAACCTTGTAAAATTTTTATCTTCTAAATACCAATAAATAAAGACTTCATCACAAAGGTGTAAACGAAATATCTTTCGGCAAATTAAATTACAGGAGGTGCACTGGTATTTAGAAGTGTATATATACATAAATCTNTCGCAAAGGGTGTCAGTATATTGTCACAGCAGCATTTCTGTTTCAAGCAGGAATAAAAAAAAAAAAAAAGAAAAAAAAAGACGGGGAAGAAAAGAAACATGAGACAAAAGAAAAATACATCAGCGATTCGTTTGCATAAGCTGGCATAAGTGTTGTGTGTTGAGTTAGTTTTATTGTACTTATAATGAATCACGCACTTGTGTGAAAACGACGAATGCCGAAAATACCTATATATATGTACTGATGACATACCGGTAAAATAGCATACCGAATTTTTTATTTACGTGAAATAAAAATAAAAAAAAAATAAAAGAAATAATGAAACGAGCGAAAGATCCGTACTGTATAAAAACTAAGGCGTTTTGCAATGTTTATAAATTTGCTAAATTTTAAGAATACCTATGAATTATCATTATTATTTTATATTTTT